CGCTGGAGCCTGGGAGGTCAAGGCTGCAGTGAGCCATGATCTCACCACTGCACTCCAGCCTGGGTGAGAGAGCAAGACCATGTCTCAAAAAAGCAAAACAAGGCTAGGCTTTTTTTGCTCACACCTATAATCCCAGCACTTTGGGAGGCTGAGGTGGGTGGATCAGGAGGTCAAGAGATGGAGATCATCCTGGTCAACAAGGTGAAACCCCGTCTCTACTAAAAATACAAAAATTAGCTGGGCATGGTGGTGTGAGCCTGTAGTCCCAGCTACTTGGAAGGCTGAGGCAGGAGAATTGCTTGAACCCAGAAGGCGGAGGTTGTGGTGAGCTGAGATCATGCCATTGCACTCCAGTCTGGGTAACAACAGCGAAACTCCGTCTCAAAAAAAAAAAAAAAGAGATGGGGTTTCACCATGTTGGCTGGTCTTGAACGCCTGACCTCAGGTGATCCACCCACCTCAGCCTTCCAAAGTGCTGGGAATACAGGTATAAGCCACCACACCTGGACTTTTTTTTTTTTTTTGAGAGGGAGTCTTGCTCTGTCACCCAGGCTGGAGTGCAATGGCAGGATCTCAGCTCATTGTAACTTCCACCTCCCAGTTTCAAGCAATCCTCCCACCTCAGCTTCTGAGTAGCTGGGATTACAAGTGTGTGCCACCACGCCCAGCAAATTTTTTTGTATTTCTTGTATTTCTTAGTAGAGATGGGGTTTCTTTGTGTTGGCCAGGCTAGTCTCAAAATCCTGGCTTCAAGTGATCTGCCTGCCTCAGGCTTCCAAAATGCTGGGATTGCAGGCCGCACCTGGCCTCATTGCTATGTCTCTAATGCCTAGAACAATGTCTGATGCATAGTAGATACTCAATCTTTTTTTTTTTTTTTAAAGACAGGGTCTTGCTATGTTGCCCAGGCTGGCATCGTACTACTGGGCTCAAATGATATTCCCACCTCAGCCTTCCAAGTAGCTGGGATTATAGGCACATGCCATCATGCCTGGCTCCAACATTGTTTTAATCAGTATATGTATACTGATAATATATACTGAATATATATACGTATATATATATACACACATATGTAGATATATGTTGGGTTTTTTTTTAGACGGAGTCTTGCTCTTGTTGCCGAGGCTGGAGTGCAATGGCACTGTCTCGGCTCACTGCAACCTCTGCCTCCTGGATTCAAGTGATTCTCCTGTCTCAGCCTCTAGAGTAGCTGGGATTACGGAAGTATACCACCACACCCAGCTAATTTTGTATTTTTAGTAGAGGTGGGGTTTCACCATGTTCGTCAGGCTGGTATCACACTTCTGACCTCAAGCGAACCACCTGCCTTGGCCTCCCAAAGTGCTGGGATTACAGGCATGAGCCACCATCCCTGGCTAATATACATATACATTTTTTTCTTTTTAGATGGAGTCTCTGTCAGCCAGGCTGGAGTGCAGTGGCACGGTCTTCACTTACTGCAACCTTGGCCTCCTAGATTCAAGCAATTCTTTTGCCTCAGCCTCCCAAGTAGCCTGAAATTACAGGCATATGCCACCATGCCCGGCTAATTTTTGTATTTTTAGTAGAGACAGGATTTCACCATGTTGGCCAGGCTGGTCTCAAACTCCTGACCTCAGGTCATCTGCCTGCCTCGGCCTCCCAAAGTGCTGGGATCACAAGCATGAGCCACTGTGCCTGGCCATGTTTTAGTAAATATTTTAAAAACAGATGAGTGATTTCTTTTTTTTAGTTTGCAGTTCCAGTATTAGACCCGAGAAACTACTGATCTGAAGACAGAAACCAACCTTCATGCAGTTGAGTGTTCCCACCTCCGGGGGCTGATACTTGCAATGCCACAATTTTTGGAAGTTGATTGCCCCATAGTCCACCAGTGAGCTTCGGAACCTCTGATTTCTTAATTAATAGGGCACTGGTTTAGGAGTCAGAGATGAGAACTTTAATTCAAAGTAAGCTATTAATTCGCTGGGAATCGTGGGCAGATCACACCCCTCTTCAGGACTCAATTAAGAGCTGCAAATATTTCTCTGTGTGCTTATGTGCATATTTACCATTAAAAATCGTCAGAGGTGCTTAGGAGCCCCAAAAGTTGGGAACCTCTGCAGTAGATGGTCTTTAAAGTTCATTCCTTTAACAAATATTTATTGAAGGCCTACTGTGTGCCAAGCCCTGCGGCTCCAACAAAGCCTGAGACACAGGTAAGTTCCCTGAGATCTTGTGGAGGTTACATTCCCGTGGAGGGAAACAACCAGCCCTCAAACAATTACAGATGATGGTAACTTGCAGGAAGGAAATTAAACAGGTGATAGGGAAGTGATGGAGGGAGGCCAGCTCTCCAGGTGTTCAGGAAAGGTCTTTTTTCAGAGGTTATGGGTTTGAACCGTGTCCCTCAAAAAGCCATGTTCACTTTTATTTGAGACAGAATCTTGCTATGTGGCCCAGGATGGAGTGCAGTGGCATGATCTCGGCTCACTGCAAGCTCTGCCTCCCAGGTTCAACTGATTTTCTTGCCTCAGACTCCCAAGTAGCTGGGATTACAGGCGCCCACCACCACGCCTGGCTAATTTTTGTATTTTTAGTAGAGATGGGAGTTTCACCATGTTGGTCAGGCTGGTCTTGAACTCCTGACCTTAAGTGATCCATCTGCGTTGGCCTCCCAAAGTGCTGGGATTACAGGTGTGAGCCACAGAGCCCAGCTGACACATTCACTTTCTAACACCTAGTACCTTGGAATGTGACCTTTCAGATGTAATTAGCTGATATGCAGTTGCACTGGGAAAGGGTGTCTTTTTTTTTTAATTTTAATTTTAATTTTTGAGACAGGCTCGCACTCTGTCACCTAGGCTGGAGTGTGGTGATTTGATCATAGCTCATTACAGCCTCGACCTCTGGAGCTCAAGTGATCCTCCATTTCAGCCTCCCAAGCAGCTAGGACTACAGGCTTGCATCACAGTGCCGGGCTAATTTTTGTATTATTAGGGGAAACAGGGTCTTACCATATTGGCCAGGCTGGTCTCCAACTCCTGGCCTCTAGTGATCTGCTCACCTCAGCCTCCCAAATTGCTGGCATTACAGGCATGAGCCACCACGCCTGTCTGGATAGGGTGTCTTTTAAGAGAGGACACACAGAGACACGCATATAGGGAAGAAGATGTGCAACAGGGTAGAGATTGGGGTGAGGCAGCTATGAGCTAAGGAACTCCAGAGCACAAAGCCCCCACCCCCGCCCCCATCCCCAGCTATGAGGCGGGAAGGAAGGATTCTGCCCGGAGCCTCAGAGGGAGCACTGCTCTGCTGACACCTTCCTCTCAGATTTCTGGCTGTCAGAACTATGAGACAATACATTTCTTTCCTTTTTTTTTTTGAGATGGAGTTTCGCTCTTGTTGCCCAGGCTGGAGTGCGAAGGCATGATCTCGGCTCACAGCAACCTCTGCCTCCTGGGTTCTAGTGATTCTTCTGCTTCAGCCTCCCTAGTAGCTGGGATTACAGGGGCCGCCACCAAGCTCAGCTAATATTTTGCATTTTTAGTAGAGATGGGGTTTCACTGTATTGGCCAGGCTGGTCTCAAACTCCTGACCTCAGGCGATCCACCCATCTCAGCCTCCCAAAGTGCTGGGATTACAGGCGTGAGCCACTGCACCCAGCTTCTTTCTTTCTTTTTAGACACTGGGTCTCACTCTGTTGCCCAGGCTGGGGTGCAGTGGAGCAGTCATAGGTCACTGCAGTCTCGACTTCCCAGGCCCAAACAATTCTCAGACCTCAGCCTCTGGAGTAGCTAGGACCATAGGCATGAGCCACCACACCCAGCTGATCTGTAAATTTTTTATAGAAAAAGGGTCTCCTTATGTTGCCCCAGTTGGTGAGAATACATTTCTATTGTTTAAACCACCCAGGTTGTGGTTATGGCAGCCCTAGAAACTAACACAGGGCATGGTGGCTCATGCCTGTAATCTCAGCACTTTAGGAGGCCAAGGCGGGCGAATTACTTAAGGTCAGGCGTTACAGAAAAGCCTGGCCAACATGAAGAAACCCGCCTCTACTAAAAATACAAAAACTAGCTGGGTGTGGTGTAATCTGGTTACTCCAGAGGCTGAGGCCTGAGACTCACTTGAATCTGGGAGGCAAAGGTTGCAGTGAGCTGAGATGACACCACTGCCTTCCAGCCTTGGCGACAGAAAAAAAAAAAAAAAAGTGAGCTAGATATTAAGGAAGAAAAAAACCTAAAAATAGAAAAAAGAGAGAGAAAAAGTAAAGTACACATGTGTCATTTGAAACTGAGATCTTAATGATGAAAAGAAGGCATATCATACGAAGATTTAGAGGGAAGAAAGTCAGGAAGAGAAAAAGCAATGGCTGGAAGGTACGCGCCCAGGGCGGTGACACAGAAGGGACTGCAAAGCTAGGCAGGGGCAGTTCTTGCAGGACTTGGCAGAGGAGGGGACAGAACTGGATTTAATCAGCTTGGAGGCGGTTGTGACCCTTGAGCGACAGAAACAGCTGTCAAGAACGTCACCCAGAACGTATGAGGGCAGGAAACTAGATGTATCAGCTGCAGCACATAATAATGACAACGTGAGATGACCACGCCCTCTGCGCTGCACCGCCCGGCCCCGACCTTGCTGGAGGGTCGATGTCACCTCCAGCCTTCTTGGGCGCTGGCCTGAGCTCAGGTCAGGCAATGACGCGGGGAGGGGGTGCTAAGCCTTCACGTCCCCCAAATCTCCTTTCATTCCCCAAATTTTAGACACCCCAAAACACACAATCTAAGTCAAACAAGCTCTGCTAATGCAACCTGCTGACAAGTCTCCCAGCTGTTCTTGGAAGAGAGAGGTTCTGGAGGCACAGAGGCACTTCCAAGGCGGCCGCAACAGACCCTGCAACACCTTGCAAGGCTGCAAGGTCCGGCCCGGCACGCCGCGCGCGGGGCGGGGCAGGGGAGGATGCGCATGCGCGGCCCCGCCTCCCAGGCGTGGGGCGGGGCCGTGACGTCAGGTGCGCGCGTGGCTCCGACTGCGCAGGAACAGCTGGTTCCTCCGAGGGCGGCCGGCGAGAGCGCGGGCGTGGGACGCTGGGGTGGCCGCCGAGCCGCGCTGCGGGAGCGGCCGTCACAGCCGCTGGCGCCTTGCACCAACTCACCATGTCCGGGCAGCTGGAGCGTTGCGAGCGCGAATGGCACGAGCTGGAGGGAGAATTTCAAGAACTGCAGGTAGGGCCAGACCACCTGGTCCCGCAACTCTGCTGTGCGCGGTGCAGCGCCTTCCTCTGCCTGAGTCCCCGGCCCAGGCGGTGGGGACTGGCAGGGCCTAGGGAGTGCCCTGGCGAGGCCCTGGGGCGGACCGGCGGAGTGGACCAGCCCCCTCCCATCTCCAGGCGCTTGGGCTCTTCGTTCACATGGGGCGCCGGGTCGCAGCTCCCCCTTCCGCCGCCCTCTCACTGGCTCTCTGCTCCACGCACCCCCTTCGCTGCAGAAAGTTGGTTCGTGGCCTTTGAGGCAAGTTCCAGGCGTGTTCATCTTGGGAGGGGGGAGTTCAAGAGAACAGCCCAGCCCCCACCTCTGCAGGGTCTTCCCAAATCCCACCCCACCCCGCCCCGTCCCATCTGCTTTTGGTAGCTCAGCTCCCACCCATACTCTGGCGGGGTAGCCCTATCCTGCAGCTCTGTTTCGGGAGATGTACTTAGGAGCGTTTCACCTTGAACCTCTAGGCTATGCTTGGGGATTAGAGACCCCTATTTCCTGTCTTGGGTGCTCTGACGCGGCTGCAAGCTGAGTTTGGCGTGAAGACCATCTGTCAGTTCGGACAGCTGGGTTGCCTCATCCAGTGATAGGGGAAGCTCCCAGCCCTATCCTTCTGGCCCAGAGCCTGACACAGGGTGGGGTGAGGGCGGGTGTAAAGCGGGGGGGGGGGGGTCCCCTGAGACAACGGCATTGCCGTTGGGAGAGGGGGAGGTCCTGGCAGCAGTCGTTCCTGGTAAGAGGTTCAGAGAGGCCACAGCTACCTACGGTGTTGACTAGAGAGGCCTCAGGAATCCTTGGGGTTGACCAAGAGGGACTCAGGAACTATTTTGGAAGACAGGGATGTTTCCTCTCCAGCCACGGGATTGTTTTTGGAGGGTTGGCTCTGCCTGAAATTGCATTGCACACCCTCACCCCAGTCCTTTCATTTGGAGCAGTGGCATTGTCCCTGTCCATGTAGCCCTTGTCTGCAGCTCCGTTGGCCTACAGTGTGCAGAGGAGGGGAGAGGAGGTTGCCAAGGGAATCTCTGATGGGTCTTTCTAGACACGAGGTTGGAAATTCTGACCTATAGACAGAGGGGTGCTGGAGAGTCCGGGCAGGAACGATGGTGCAGTTTCAGGCATGAACAGAGGGGAAGGGACCTAGACCCATCTTGGCCTGTCCAGCATGTGTAGGTTGATGCCTTCTCCTCTAGGGCCTGGGTCCCATCCAGTTCCCAGAGGACCCTTTTGGCTCCAAGACTTAGCTACTCCTTGTTTTATTTTTTGACGGAGTCTTGATCTGTCACCCAGGCTGGCGTGCTGTGGCACAATCTTGGCTCACTGCAACCTCTGCCTCCGAGGCTCAAGCAATTCTACTGCCTTAGCCTCCCAAGTAGCTGGGAACTACAGGCGCATGCTACCACGCCAGGCTAATTTTTTGTATTTTTAGTAGAGACAGGGTTTCACTGTGTTAGGGTGGTCTTGATCTCCTGACCTCAGATCCACCTGCCTTGACCTCCCAAAGTACTGGGATTACAGGCATGAGCCATTGCACCCGTTCCCCCCCCCCCCCCCCCCCCCCCCCCGCCCTTTTTTTTAAGGGGCAGAGTCTTGCTCTATTGCTAGGCTGGAATACAGTATCTTGATTTCAGCTCACTGCAGCCTCTGCTCCAGGTTCAAGTGATTCCCCTGCCTCAGCCTCCTGAGTAGCTGGGACTACAGGTACACACCACCACACACAGCTAATTTTTTGTATTTTAATGAGATGGCTTTCATTCATTGTGTTGACCAGGATGGTCTTAATCTCCTGACTTGTGATCTTCTGGCCTCGGCCTCCCAAAGTGCTGGGATTACAGGCGTGAGCCACCGTGCCCAGCCTGTTTTTTTTTTCTTGAGCTGGAGTCTCACTGTCACCCAGGCTGGAGTGCAGTGGTGTGATCTTGGCTCACTGCAGCCTCTGCCTCCCCGGTTCAAGACCTGCCTTCGCCTCCCAAAGTGCTGGGATTACAAGCGTGAGCCACTGTGCCTGGCCCTCAGCCACTTCTTCTTCTTCTTCTTTTTTAAAATACTTTAAAGCCGATTCTGTAAAAACCACTTCGTAATGCTTTGCCCTACTGGGCTCTGAGGTCATGGTCAGCTGTGGAGCCACAGAGTGGGTATTAGGGTTGGGAATGGGAGAAGAGAAGAGGTTTGCTTTTCTGTGTGAAGCTTATGTTGTTCATAATTCCTGTCCCTTGCTCTGCCTTAGACTAGGTGGAGGAGGGGGAAGAGAATACTTCAGAGCAAGGTCGGGTGCGAATGGCTCATGCCTGTAATCCTTGTGCTTTGGGAGGTGGAGGCAGGCGGATCACAAGGTCAGGCGTTAGAGACCAGCTTGGCCAACATAGTGAAACCCCTTTACTAAAAATACAAAATTAGCTGGGTGTGGTGGCATGCACCTGTAATCCCAGCTACTTGGGTGGCTGAGGCAGAAGGATTGCTTGAACTTGGGAGGCAGAGGTGTCTGTGAGCCAAGACCACACGATTGCACTCCAGCCTGGACAACAGAGTGAGACTTCATCCCCAACCCCGCCCCCCCAAAAAAAAACTACAACAACACTTCAGAGCTATGCAGTTAATGCAATTAACAGCAATTAGATAGCAAGTCTTGGCAGGCAGAGGTTGCAAAGGAGTTGTCTGATTCTTTTTACTTGGTCCCCAAGATGCTCAGGTGTGTTAGGGACAAAGGGATTGGGAATCAGTTCTAGATTTTGTCCCCTGGTGCACCACAGGTGTTGTAGAAGACGGTCAGAGTGAGTGGAAACTGAGGGCTCCTGCTCAGTTCATGATGGGGGAACTGGAAGGGATTGCATCCTACTTGGGGAAGAGGGACCCTGCTGGCTCTGGGCTTTGGTGGTCAGCTGTTGGGGCAGGGGCCAGTCAGGGATGGCTCCCGATGTCAAGGTCATAGACTGGAGTAGAAACTACTGTCTACATCATCAGTTCACAAATGAGGAAATTGAAGCTTGGACGTGCTAATTGGCTAGATGGGGGTCACACAGCTAGTTAGTGGTAAAGCTGGGGCTAGAATTCAGTTCTCTAAATGTTGGGAGACCCGTCTCTGCCTTCCCGCCCTTTCCTTCATATTAAATGTGAGAGCTCTGAACTCTCAAGATTCTGTATATAAGTAGGATGTCCATTGTATATGTACTTGGCAGTTTCGGATACGAGGTATTTGTTAGGAGCCCATCTTGGTGGTTCATACCTGTAATCCCCGAACTTTGGGATGACAGGTTGGGAGGATCACTCCCAGCAGGATTGCCCAGCAGTTCGAGACCACCCTAGGCATATAGGGAAACCCCTATTACTACAAATAATGCAAAAAGTAGCTGGGTGGGGGTCAGACGCAGTGGCTCACGCCTGTCATCACAGCACTTTGAGATGACAAATTGGGAGGATTGCTCCCAGGAGGATTGCCCAGCAGTTTGAGACCAGCCTGGGCAATATAGGGAAACCCCTGTCTCTACAGATAATAAAAGAATTAGCTGGGTGTGGTAGTGCATGCTTGTAGTCCCAGCTACTAGGGAGGCTGGAGTAGGAGGGCTGCCTGAGCCCCAGGAGTCAAGGCTGCAGTGAGCCATGATTGCACCACTGTACTCTAGCCTGGGTGACAGAGCCAAACCCTGTCTCAAAAAAAAAAAGATTTGTTGAGGCACAAGCAGGTAGCAGCAGGTAGGTAGATGGGCACAGTTAACTGGAAAGCTTAACAATAGGAAGGATTTTTTTTTTCTACCAGAAAATCTTGGTCTATTTTAATTTTCCTACATCTTCCTTAGAATCCAGGTGGAGGGTTCTGTGTTTGTATCACCTTGATTCTGGGGTAATGCGTAATGTCTATGCTTTACCTCTTTTTTCCTTTTTTTTTTTTGTGTGTGTGCGTGTATGTCTGTGTGAGACAGTCTCACTCTGTTGCCCAGGCTCGAGTGCAGTGGTGTGATCTCAGCTCACTGCAGCTTCTACCTCCTGAGTTCAAGAGATTCTCCTGCCTCAGCCTCCTGAGTAGCTGGGATTACAGGTGTCCGCCACTGTGCCTGGCTAATTTTTCTTTTTTCTTTTTTTTTTTTGAGATGGAGTTTCGCTCTTGTTACCCAGGCTGGAGTGCAATGGCGCAATCTCGGCTCACCGCAACCTCTGCCTCCTGGGTTCAGGCAGTTCTCCTGCCTCAGCCTCCTGAGTAGCTGGGATTACAAACACGCACCACCATGCCCAGCTAATTTTTTGTATTTTTAGTAGGGACGAGGTTTCACCATGTTGACCAGGATGGTCTCGATCTCTTGACCTCGTGATCCACCCGCCTTGGCCTCCCAAAGTGCTGGGATTACAGGCGTGAGCCACCACGCCCGGCCTAATTTTTCTATTTTTAGTAGAGACAGGGTTTCACTATCTTGGCCAGGGTGGTCTCAAACTCCTGACCTCATGATTCACCCACTTCAGGCTTCCAGAGTGTTGGGATTACAGGCATGAGCCATCATGCCCGGCTTCCCTTTTTTAAGTGAAGGAAAGAAAGAACAAACCTAATTCTCAGACCCCAGAGGATTTGAAAGGTCTTTGGAATTTCCCCCCTCCCTAACACAAGAAAACCCAACATAATCTCTGGGACTCTCTAGAGGAAAGGATCAGTTTTCTTTGGACGGTGATTTACATGTGTCAGGGCCTTCCTGAACCCTGGGGCACAGTTGAATCTCCACAAGGACTTAGTTTTTGGGTGATTGGGGTTTCAGCCATGCTGGTGAGTTGAGTGCTTTTCTGAGACCAGCAGTGTGCGTCTGGTCTTCTGGCCTGTGGTGTGACCGCAGAAGGTCACTTACAGACACTAGGGCAAGTAATTTAATGAGCATTTCCTGCCTTGGATCACTGGAAACCTGACCTTGTCCCTCCCAGCCAAGGAAGGAGGTGGCCCTAAGCAGCTCTTCCCTAGGCCTGACCTCACAGTGATGCAAGGGCCTTGAAGG